CGTGCGGTGTTTTGTCTCGGCAAGCGTCTTCTGTGAAAAACGAAGCTTGAGCTGACACCGTCCTCATGTTTATGCTCTTTCTTTCTCCATGCTTGAACTATTTGCGGGTAACTCTTGCCAGTGCGTGTGTGCGTACGTATCTGCACGCAGCTGTGAGACTTACGGGCTGGAGCTTGCTAGAACTGAGGTACGTGCGAAGTGTACATGGTTATATGGCTCATGTATGTACACATGCGTCTATATACACATGTATGCAGCGTCATCTACATAGATATGTATACACGCACATCTGTCCATAAAATATATGTTTTATATGTGTATATATATGCGCACTCACAGACACAATCACACACATACATATATATATATATATATGTATAGGTACCTACATCGATCTGTGCAATTATATGTGTAGAGGGCTTCGTCTTCAGCCGCTGGCCACGCCTCCGATTGTCTACGTGGCCACGTTTGGTTGGTGGGTTGCTTGGTTTTCTCGCCGTTTGGCTGGCATGCGGCTCGGCTGATTGGCTCGTTGTCTGAACTTTGGATTTGCAATCTATTTGGGCGGTTTGCTGGCTGGCTGGTTTCGCGCGTCTGCGGCATTTGCTGAAGGATGGTGGCCTCGGGAACGCGCGGCCCCTGTACATTACGAGGATTCGAGGCTTCTGGAGAGCGCGCCCGTCGCTATTTATCCAGATTCGTTGCCTCGGGCGTCGGGCCGAATGAATAGAAAACGCCGCGGGGGCAGAAACGCGCCCGCCGCACCAACACCCAACATAGAAGATGCCAGTTTTTCGGCTCTGGGGAGAGGTTGCGCTTTCGGGCGGTCTCCGTGTGGTGGGATCATGGTTTCGGGAACGCCATCGCGTAGTATTTTACAGGGGGGTGTGATTGCAAAGACGCAAACTTCTTTGTATATAGGAGGGATTGGTCCCGGGCGCGCGAATCTGGTGAACTTGCGTGGCGACAGTGTGGCGTACGTTACCAAGGCGTCACTGTGGCGTACGTTACCAAGCCGCAATTTACAAGGGAGTCTGTCTTCGGGGGTGGACGCGATTTGTAGTTTGCGCTGGATTTAGGTCTCGGGGAGCGCAAACCAGGTGTAATTGACGCGGGATTGTGGCGCGGGAGGAGCGAGGCTGGCGTAATTTTCAAGGGGTTGTTGGCCCGGAGGCAAGACATTACAGTAAGTTTCTAGGGATTGGAGCCTCGGGAGCGTGAGTCTGGAGTAGCTTCTAGGGGCTTGCGCTCTGGGGGGCCCGAGCCCGTGGCACTTGACTCGGGATGGTTGCTTCGGGAGTTCGAGCCTGGCGTGATTTACTGCGGATGGTGGCCGCGGGAGCAATTCGGGGAAGCTTTGCCAGGCAGCTCGAGCCCAGGGGGGCGGCCTGGCCAGAGTTGGCCCGAGGCGGGCGGCCCGCCCAGGAGGAGGAGGAGGAGGGCCAAACCCAGGAGGAGGAGGAGGAGGAGGAGGAGGAGGAGGAGGAGGAGGAGGAGGAGGAGGAGGAGGAGGTTGAGAGGAGGATGAGGTGAGGAGGAGGAGGAGGAGGAGGAGGAGGAGGAGGAGGAAAAGGAGGAGGAAAAGGAGGAGGAAAAGGAGGAGGAGGAGGAGGAGGCGGAACCAGCATCATTTTGCAAAGGGATTGTGGCTACAGACCTGTGGGCGAGCGCGGAGCCATTTGCAAAGGACTTGGGGAGCGCGAGCCCGCTGTGATCTCAGAGGGGTTGCTGCTGCGGGGCGCGAGCCTGGCGTCATTCACTGGGGATTGTGGTGTGGGGAGCGCGAGTCTGCTGCATTTCGCGTGTCCCAGGGCGCCCCCAGCGACATCCGGAGGACCTTCTGGGAGCCTCTTGGAGGCATTTTGGGGGCTTCCTTTTGGGCCTCTTGGGGGCCTTGGGGGGCTTCTCGGGGGCCTCTTGGGCCGTCTTAGGGCATTCCTGGCCCGTCAGACTCCGTAGGAAAGCCCCCTTGGGGGCCCGGGTGGTGATTGGGTGTTTTATTTCGCCTCCCCCTGGCGTTGCAGAAATCACCCAGAGGGGGTCGGGACCTCTGGGGCCCGCGGATTGAGAATGCACACGCGCACACATATCCACCGGATGGGTGGCGACGAGTACAGTCAACGCGCGTAGTGAGGACTCGCGCCTTTTCTAGGGTGCCCTTGTGTCCTTGCCTTTGCGGCCCTTTGCGGATTCGGGTGCCCTTGCGTCCCTGGTGGTTTGGTCGCCTGGCGCCCTTGCCACCCGTCGTGGCGCCAACGTCGCAGGGATGGGCCCGAACTGTCCTGGAGAATTTCGTTTCGGATTTCGAAGTGAATTTCGTGCGGATTTGTTTGGCCAGTAATGCAGACTACAGAACATCCACGTGGAATTCACTTCCTTTTTTTCGCTCGCCGCTTCGGGGTTCTGCATCGACAGACATCCGCGCGAAAATCCGCTGCAGCACGTCTGCAAGGTCGGTGCAATGACACCCGTCCTTATCATACGTTTTCGCTGTGAGCGCAGCGTCCCTGTGTCCATCCACCACAGCCCGCGCCCAATGTCGGCGGCGCGCGCAGGCGGGCACGGCGAGGGGTCGGCCGCTTCTCTCGGGAGCAGTCCTGACGTCAAGAGGCCATGCCAGAAGCTTGCTTCTGCGAGGGGCTCAAGAACAACCGTGCAGCATAAGCTCTTGGGCCAGATGCCTTCTGCGAAGCCCCCCGCGTTCCTTGGAGTCTCGCGCTGCCCACTGGCGCTGCCCCTGGCCCGAATCCATTCAGAATCGGCCCCCAGACTGCCCCTCCCCCCCTTGAGGGGGCCCATGCCAGAAGCTCTTGCGAGGGGCCAAAGAACAACTGTGCAGTGCAAGCTTTGGCAAGGGCTGGATGCCTTCTGCGAAGCCCCCCGCGTTCCTTGGAGTCTCGCGCTGCCCCTGGCCCGAATCCATTCAGAATCGGCCCCCGGACCGCCCCTGCGCCCCCCCCGAGAGGGGGCCCACCCTGGCCATCCTGTCGCGCTGCACCCCGCGGTGGCCGCGGAGGGCCCCCCCCGAGGAGGCATGCGTACTATATCTATATTCTAGATCTATTCGAAGCTGTCTGCTGTCACGCGTGATCTGGCGGGCGCCCAGTGGCCAGGCCCCAGCGCGCAGCGCACGCCCTCGGCGCGGCCCATGACCTCCGACGGCCTCCGAGGGCCTCCGAAGGCCGCCGAGTGCCGCCGCCGAGTGCATCCGCCGAGGGCATCCGCCGAGGGCCTCGGAGGGCCTCCGAACTCAGAGGTCCGCACAATGCAGTAAGTGACGATCTCAAACCTGTGATGTACGCGATGCTTGTTTTGCAGGCGCTCTGTGGTGAGCTTTCGCCGATCTCGCTGGCTCGTCAGATTGGCCTTGGCAAAAACAGCTGTGGCACGGCCCTCCCTCTTACCAGCACGCACGCGCAGGAGCGAAGAGGGGAAAGGGCAGGGAAAGTACCGTCTGACTGCGCCGCTCCACTTTGCGGAGCCGGCGTCGAACAAATCGGAGCGGCCCGGTTTTGGCCGTTGCCGCCATCCAGGGGCCCTCAGAGCGGTCCCAGAACCGTCAACGAAATGGCTCAGGACGAGAAGCCGGCCTGAGAGAAGCGGTCCAGGCTTCCTGTCGCGGGCGGCCAAGACGGGTGTGGTGTCTAGGGGGGGGGGGGTATCATGGCCGTGGCCATGACATCTTCCCAGATTTCATGGCTCCTTCTTCGTCTTCTTATTTTAATTTCTCTTCTTTTCTCTTATCTTTTTAAAGTGAACTAGTGTTGTTATTCTTATTATTACTCCTCTTCTTCTTCTTCTTCTATTATTATTATTATTGTCATTGTTATCATTACGATTATGCTTATTAGTATTGTTATCTTCATTCGTATTCTGATTTTGCTGTATCAGCATCATATTACTATTATTATTATTATCATTATTATTATTATCATTATTATTATTATCATTCTTTTTCTTTCTTCGACGGGTCCTCTGGCACCCCTGTGTGCTGCCCGCATATTTGGCCAATGACTTGCGACTCCTCCTCTTGGACGCCCCCCTCTTGGACGCCCCAGATCGGGGGACGTTTCCCTCTGTCGAGTAGTGGATCAACTATAACATTGATTTTCCTCAAACTTGTTTTTCTGCCGAGTCCGCGCAGAATGCGCAGACTCCTTGCAGACCTACGCAGAATGAGTGAATTCCTGCAGGTTTCCGTGGAATCGACGAGACATGGCTTCGGGGCTAAATCAATTCCGCCATCGACCCCCAGACATCCGAAGGTATTGCTTTTTTCATAGCTGCGAAATGTCTTGGTTTTTGTGGATTGTCTTGGTTTTTGTTCCAGACTGCGATGTCTTGGTCTTTGTCAGATGTCTTGGTTTGTTGTCAGATGTCTTGTTTTTTTGTCAGGGCAGGGGACCCCCTGCTCGACCCTTGGACGCCCCCCGATCCCGGGGCCCACGCAGCGACACGACTGCCAGCGGCCTGCACGCCTGGCGAGCCGCGCCGGCCCCCGCTGGGGCGGGCAGCTTCCCGCTGCGGGCAGCAGAGCGGCAGCCTGCAGCTCACCACCCACCAAACCACCCCAACCCAACCCGAAGGCTCAGATTTACCCTCGATCTCTAGTGGGGGGGGGGTCGGGGAACGTTGAAAAAGCACATGTGGAGCCCATACCCCCCCCAACCCGAAATTCGGGTCTTCGGGTTGGGTTGGGGTTGTCTGGTAGGTAGTCAGTGGCAGACCGTGCCCGGCCGCTGGCGAGCGCGCGCTCGTCGTCGTCGTCGTCGTCGACGTCGTCGTCGTCGTCGTCGTAGTCGTCGTCGTTGTCGTCGTCGTCGTCGTCGTCGGCGTCGTCGTCGTCGTCGTCGTCGTCGGAGGAGGAGGAGGAGCCTCCGAAGGGCCTCCGTCGGGCCTCCGAAGGGCCTCCGAAGGGCCTCCGAAGGGCCTCCGAAGGGCCTCCGAAGCGCCGCGCTGCAGCGCCCCGCGCAGCCCGCGCACAGCGCGCCACTGGCTAGGTGCCCGTCGGCTGCGTCTTCGTGGACCGGCGCGCCGGCCGGGTGCTGGTCGCCGGGGGCAACGAGACCAACAGGCAGGGAAGGGGGAGGGGGAGGGGGAAGGGGGAGGAGGAGGAGGGAGGGGGAGAAGAAGGAGGAGGTGGGGGGGAGGCGGAGGGAGGAGGAGGGAGGGAGGAGGGGGGGGGAGGGGGAGGAGGAGGGAGGAGGAGGGAACGGGGCGGGAGGACAGGTGGGATGAGGGGGGACGGGGAGAATGATGATGATGATGATGATGATGATGATGATGATGATGATGATGATGATGATGATGATGATGATGATGATGATGATGATGACGATGACGATGATGATGATGATGATGATGGTGGTGGTGGTGGTGGTGGTGGTGATGGTGATGATGATGATGATGGTGGTGGTGGTGGTGATGGTGATGATGATGATGATGATGATGGAGATGGTGGTGGTGGCGATGATGATGATTGATGATGATGATGATGCTGATGATGATGATGATGCTGCTGCTGCTTCTGCTGCTGATGCTGCTGCTGATGATGCTGATGATGATGATGCTGATGATGCTGACGCTGATGCTGATGATGATGCTGATTTGGTGATGATAGTGATGCTGGGGATGATGATTCGGTGATGGTAATCGTGCTGAGATGATGATGCTACTACTGATCATGCTGATGCTGATAATGACAATGACAATGATGATGCTGATGATGTTGCTCATGCTGACGCTGATGCTGATGCTGAAGATGTTGATGATGATGCTGCTGATGATGACGATGGTGATGATGTCGATTGTGATGCTGCTGATGATGATGCTGATGATGATGATAATGATGATGATGATGATGATGATGATGATGATGAAGCTGATGATACTGATGATGACGATGATGATGATGATGGTGGTGGTGGTGGTGATAATGATGCTAATGATGATGATGATGCTGATGCTGATGCTGATGCTGCTGCTGATGATGATGATGATGCTGCTGCTGCTGCTCACGATGATGATGATGATGATGATGATGATGATGATGATGATGATGATGATGATGATGATGATGATGATGATGATGAAGCTGATGATACTGATGATGACGATGATGATGATGATGGTGGTGGTGGTGGTGGTGGTGATGATGATGCTAATGATGATGATGATGATGATGCTGATGCTGATGCTGATGCTGATGCTGCTGCTGATGATGATGCTGCTGCTGCTCATGATGATGATGATGATGATGATGATGATGATGATGATGATGATGATGATGATGATGATGATGATGATGATGATGATGACGATGATGAGGACATCCGGAACCGCTGCGGGGCGCTGTTTGGCCTGGGCGGCGAGGCGCCCAGGGAGCCGGCGCAGGCGTTGCGGGAAGTCTGGCAGCGCAACGCTTCCAAAACGCAGCTGGGGCCAGATTGCCCCGCCGCGCCCGCCGCGGCAGGAGGCGGTTGCCCCTCGGGCCCGCAGGGCCACGCAGACGAGAATGCCGCGCGGCGACGCCTCGTAGCGCGGGCACTTTTTGCTCCCAGCGCCGCCCGGCGCCGCCCGAGCGATAGCGTGGCCCACCTCGCGAAGAGATTCGAGGGCGGGCCCGTGGGCCCGGCCGCTGGGAATGGACGGTCCTGCGCTCTGAAGAGGGCGCGGGCGCTGTTCGTGGCAGCGTTCGCGAATGCCTGCGACGCCGTCTGAGGCGACGAGCAGGAAGAGGTCCCTCGCGGCCGCCGCCGGACGTTCCAGATGTTACTCATTCGACAGGGGGGCTCCGGCAAGATGGCGATCGCCCAGGAGATCGTGATGCCCGCCGTGGACTTCTCGTGCGGGGTTTCCTCCGCGCCTGTTTCCCGTGCCAAATGGCCCCAGGCCGAGAACATCTCCGCGGGGGCCCGCGCGGCGACAGCGCGCCGCCGGGCGGCGCGGATAGGCGTCGGGGGGCGCCGGGGCCGCGAGATGATAGCCCGACGCCGACGCGCGCGCGCCTCGAGGACAGCTGGGTGGACCTGGGGCTGTTCGTGATCGAGAGGGCGATCATAGTGTCACCGAACCTCTACAACGTGTTCCTGTGCCTCGCCATCCAGGTCAGGCGCGAGCAGTGCAGTCTGCAGGGGGCGCGCTGTCAGTGGCCCTCCTGCGCGCTTGGCTGCGTCCCCATCGTGATGTGCCTTGGCGATTTCCCGCGGCTGAAGCCCGCGGGGTCTGGGGGGCCCCTCCTGTCTGACCTGCGACAGATGGCGGCCGCCGACGGCGGGGGAGGGGCCGCCGGCGGGGCGCCAGCCGGTCACTTGGGCCTTCTGCGACGCGCCCCTGTGCTTCGAGCTCCAGGCCGCCAGCCGCTTGAAGGGCCCGCGACTCGCGGAGCTGATGAGCCTCGCGCGCGGGCCGAAGTAGGGCTGGGTGCCGGCCAGCGTCGCCGACGCGCGGGGGCGCATCCAGCGACCCGAGACCGGCCGAGGAGCGATTCCAGACGGGGCGCGTGCTCGCGCGGTTATGGGGCACGGTGGCTCGCTGGATCTCGATGCGCGCGAAGAGAGACGCCCGGGGTCTGGGGCAGGTCCTCTGCCTCGCGCAGGCCGCCGACGCGCCCGCGCCCCGGCTGCCGAGGGGCCTGGCCGCGAAGCTGCTGAATGAGGTGGGCCCGGGAACCGCTGGCGGCGCGCGCGGGGCGTCGCCGTTGCGCTTGGGCGTGCGGAATTCGTCTGCTGGAGCGCCTCGACCTCGAGCGGAAGCTGGTCGAGGGTGCCGAGGGCGAGATGCCGCGCGTGGCCATCGACCTTCGCGACGATGAAGGGGACGCGCGAAAGCCGAGAGCTGCTTCGCGCGCCTGCGCTACTTGCCCCTCGGCGTCTGGGTCCGTGCGGGCAAGTGCACTGCAGCTCCTGCCCGCGACCTGCAGGCGGAGCGCTCGGGGGGTGTCGACGTCTCGGGCGCGGAGCGGCTGGTGTGCGTCGAGCCGCGGACAACGAGCCCCTTTGCATTCCGCAATCAGAAAGTGACGCGCGCAGGGTTGCAGAACTCGCGCGCGCGCTGGTGCTCGCGTCGACGGCATGCCGGGGCCGGGCCGTTCGCCGGGGCGTCGTCGTCGACGCCGGCTATAGGGGAGCTGGCCATCAGGACGGTTTGGTCCCCTTTTGGACGTCGTGCTCTCGGGGGCGACGACGTCGGACAACCTCCTGATGATCTGCGATCCAGGCCTGGACTTTCTGTCCCGGGGGCCGCCTGCGGGCTCGGCGGCTCGCGTTCGGACTTTCGGCGGCCGCGCGGAACGCCGCCGGGAAGGGGCTGTGGAGTTGGCGCGCGAGTTCGGCATGGCCAAGTTCCTGCGTGGCTGACCATGGCGCCCGCCTGCAGTTGCAGCCGCGCTCCCGCGCATTTTCGGCGACGTTTCAATTGTGCGATCGGCCGCGCCGCCACTTGGCGGCAAGCGCTTGCGCGTGCATGATCAGGAGCTCCCAGAGCGCGCGGCGCTGTTCCGCAGCGTAGCGCGCGGCGCTGTTTGATCGCGGATCGCAGCGGAGTGGGGCGCCACGGAGCGCGTGGCGCTGTCTTTTGTCCATGCCGCGCCCCCCCTTCAGGCCCCTTCTTTCCGCGGTGCGCCCGGGCGCTTGCAGCGCTTTGCGCAGGGCGCTGTTCTGTCGCAGCGCGCATGGCGCTGTTCTGCAATTCGGACGTGGCGCGATGCGATGCTACTCCTGCGGATTATGTCTCCAATCGACTCTCGTTGTTGTGTTTCCACTCTCCTTCGTGGCCGCGTTCCTGCCAGCGATCTGGTTCTTAAGAACGACCCCGCATATGTGAACGTGTGACTCTGGCCCGACGTTCTTTCGCGAATCGCTCTAGGGCACGGCGGATCTTTCAGTGCTCGCTTCTGTATTGAGCGGTCCGATGTATAGTCGCATCATGTGCGCAAAAGGGTTGGGTAGGGTTTCGGCTTCTCGGAGACTGCTTAGGAAAGCTCGAAGGGCAATTGGAACCGTCTTGGGGCTGTCTTGGGCCTCTGGGAGATATGTAGGAGGCTATATTGAACCATCTTCGGCTATTTTGAACCATCTTGGGGGCCTTCTTGGGCTGCCGAGGGCCCTCTTGGAACTGTCTTGGGCTAATTTGGGAACTCTAGCTACCTGGGCCCCCGCCCCCTCCCAGACCCAAGGGCGGGGGAGAAGTATAGGGATGGGTAGCCCCTTCACCCGAGCAAGGGAAGGAGGAGGAGGAGGAGGAGGAGGAGGAGGAGGAGGAGGAGGAGAAGGAGGAGGAAAAGGAAGAGGAGGAGGAGGAGGAGGAGAAGAGAAAACACAACTCGTTAAACCACCTGCGTCCAGAGGGCTGGTGGGACGTTCGCCCAAACGGCTCCAGGGGCCCTCGCGTGGCCCAAAAACTTGCGGAACAGTAGGCAATGTAAACTCGGATTTCGTCAAATTTCGTTCTCGTCCTCTTCATTTTTTCGACACCCCCGCAGACGAATCCGTGTCCCAAAAATTCGAGTCTCACGTCTCTCCGACATAGGCAAGGCAACTGTTTTTCCGTTCAGATCGCTTGCCGTTGTTGTATATGGCGCCCAAAGACACCCCACCTCGCGCCGCGGGGCACGTTGACAGATTCCTACCCTTTCATCGTGCCGCGACGTTGCTCCGCATTCGCTTTCGGGACCGATTTTTGTTGCGGTTTGCGGTTTGCTTTTGGCGTTTCGCGCGTGTGAATGTGGGACGCAGTGGACGCTCTAAGGTGCTGTATCGTTTCATTTGCCATGCCACCCCTTCGTTCCCCTCCTGCTGTGTTTTGCTACTTTTGTCCCGTGGAGGTGAACACATGAGCACCAGAAACGCGGGTTGGAGGAGCAGGAGGCCGAACGGAACCGCCACACACATATATATATATATATATATATATGTATCTATATCTATATACATGCGTGTGTGTATGATCTCGTAAATCGGTAGTTATGTGTTTGTGCATGCATTTATGCATGTATGTATTTATGCATCTGTATGCATGTATGTATGTATGTATGTATGTATGTATGTATGTATGTATGTATGTATGTATGTAAGTGTGTATGCATGCATGCATGCATGCATGTATGTATGTATGTATGTATGTATGCACGCATGCATGTATGCATGCGTGCATGTATGTATGTATGTACATATGTAATGTTAGCATGATTGGTTTTCTATATCTGTAGGTGGTTGTAAGTGTGTATATATATATATGAACGTCAATGTGCTGTTTTTATGTGTGCATGCGTATACAAAACATGGTACAACTTTTTTGTTTGTATGTATGTATGTATGTATGTATGTATGTATGCGTATGTATGTATGCGTATGTATGTGTGTGTATATTTTTATACATATATATATATATATAAAGATGTTGCGATACCTTCCGCCGCTACGTGGCCCGCCCCGGAAACCCTCGATGCCAACACGTTGATGCCTCGCTTCCGCTCCCGCCGAGCATCCGCTGGCCGAGCCGCCGCCGCTTTCCTTCCGCCCGGTCCGGCTGCCCTCGTCGCCTGCTTCTGCTGAGGGCGAGGATCGCCGAGGGCGAGGCCCCCCTGGAACGCGCTGCGCATAAGATGAACCCAGATATCGGGCGAAGAGGACTATGCACATGCACCGATCCTGACAACGTCCATCCTTGACCCAGGATCGGTGCATATACCTTCCTGGCCAAGGTAAGAGGGCGTATGCACCGATCCTGGGCTCAGGATGGGCCTGGCCAGAATCGGTGTATGTGCATAGTTCTCTTTCCTCTAAGATAAGGAGAGAGGAGGAGGGAAGGGGGCAGGAGGACAGGTGGGAGGAGGAGGGACGGGGAGAAGGATGATGATGATGATGATGATGCTGATGATGATGATGATGATGATGATGATGATGATCATGATGATGATGATCATGATGATGATGATGATGATGATGATGATGATGATGATGGTGATGGTGATGGTGATGGTGATGGTGATGATGATGATGATGATGATGATGACGATGATGATGATGATGATGATGATGATGATGATGCTGATGATGATGATGCTGATGATGATGATGATGATGATGATGATGATGATGATGATGCTGTTTATGATGACGAACATGATGATGATGATGAGGAGGAGGAGGAGGAGAAGGATGTTGCTTTGCCCGTTCGGGTACCGGTATAACGTGCCACCAAGCACACGGCGCGGGCGAACATGCCCATCGTGGCGCTCAGCAAAGCGCGGTCCAACAGGGGCACACGTGTACAAGGAGGAAGCAGGCACAAGCTGTATCCGTCCTCCGGCCTCCTATTATTGGCTAACCCCCAATAGCGCCGAAACGTCGTGCCTTAGGGGGGAAACCAACAAATAGGAAGCAACGGGCAGGACCACAGCATTGGACCAGCAACCGCAACCCCGCAGGGTGAGGTCGCCCCCTGGCCCCTTCCCCCCCAGCCAACAAGCGGGGCAGGAGGAGGCCCCACCAGGGGCGGGGTGGTCAAGTGCTGGGCCTACCCAGCAAGACAACACGGAGCGGTATCCAGCGCCAGAACCTCATCATAACACGGCGAGCAATTTGCCCGCGGCAATGAGCATTCCAACCAAAGTGGTTGGGCGCTGTATGCCGCGGGCACCTGCCTCCGCATCATCATCGGCAGTACACCTCATACAGGAGGTGCCACACGGCGCCCAGGCTGCACCGCTTGGCCGCGGTGGCAGGGACTTTACAAATACCCTGGCCTGACGGCAGGAGGAGGAGAAGGAGAAGCAGGAGCAGGAGGAGGAGGAGGAGGAGGAGGAGGAGGAGGAGGAGGAGGAGAGGGAGGAGGAAAAAGGGGGGAGGGTTCCTGAACCCTGATGAACCCTGATGGACAGGTCCTCGAGTCAGGTTGGGGGACACCTGGCCGGGCCGACCGCCTGTGTGTCACGCTGCGCAGACACACGCGCAGCAGCACAGGACCAGAGATCATCATCATCATCATCATCATCATCAGCATCACTAGCACTATCACCATCACCATGACCATCCCCATCACCACCATCATCACCATCATCACCATTATCATCATCAGCATCATCGATCTCATCATCGTCAGCATCATCAGCATCAGCATCATCATTATCATCAACATGATCATCATTATTACCACCATCATCGTCATCACCAGCACCACCACCACCACCATCACCATCAGCATCCTCATCATCATCATCATCACTATCGTTATTATCATCAGCATCGTCAGCGTCAATATCGCCATCGTCACCACCATCACCATCACCATCATCATCATCATCATCATCATCACCATTATCATCATCAACCTCATCATCATCAGCATCATCAGCTTTAGAATCATCATCAACATCATTGTCAT